AAAGAGAAGGGCTGGGGATCTAGCTCAGTGGTTCCAGCGGCTGCTTCACAAGCACAAGGACCTGAGTTCAATCCCCAGTACCCCCCGCCAAAAAAAATTAGAGAAGAGTTCAGAAAATGGTGGAATGGTAAGCAACTACAACTTAGTCTCTCTGAGTTTTGAAATCTAGATGCTGGAAAATAACAACTTCGGGAAGAAAAACAGAGAAAAATAGATCTCTAAGAGCCAGGAAGGATTGGACAAAATAAATAAATAAATAGAACCTACAGAGAAATGAAGAGACAGGATACAATTTGGAGATGAATCCACTAGGCAAGGCAAGATATTAAACAGAAAAGGAAAGAAGGAAGCCAATAGCAGGAAAGTAATGTGATGGAAGTTAAGACAATACGTATCAGTTATAATCATCAACGTGTTCATGGCCTCAATTTACCAATCAAAAGAAAAAGGCTGTCAGAATGGATCAAGATGCAAGATCCAACAATATGCTACATAGAAGAAACATAATTAATTTAAAAGCAAATTCACAGACTGAAACTCAAGGGATGGAAAACAATATTTCATGTGACAGGAATCGGAAAAAAGCAGGGGTAGCTATTCTCTTTGCAGACAAAGTAGATTTCACACCAAAACTGACTAAGAGAAACAAGTAAGTTCACTATGTCCAGGCAAAGGGAACAAGTCAAGAGGAAGATATAACAGTCATAAATACACATGCACCAAAGAGCAGTGCACCCAACTATACAAAACAAATGTTAACAGACATGAAAAATCATATAAGCACAAATACAGTTGCAATGGGGGACCGCAATACCCCACTGTCACAAATACATCACCTAGACAAAAAGTCAGCGGCAAAATATTAGAACTGAACCAAATGTTTGAACAAATGGACTTAGTAGATGTCTACAGTGTTCCACCCCACAGCATCAGATTATACATTCTTGGGGCAGGGATGTAGCTCAGTGGCACAGCACCTGCCTGGAAAGTGCAAGGACCTGAGTTTGATCCCTAATACAAAAAAAAAAAAAAAAAAATAAAAAAAAAAAAAAAAAAAAAAAAAAAAATGTTCTCAGCCACACATGGGGCTTTCTCTAAAAGAGACCTTATACTAGCTCATAGAACATGCTTAGCTAAATGCAAAGGAATTAAAACATCCCATGCATATTATCAGACAATAGTGCAATGGAATTGGAAATGAATGGCAAAAGAAACCACAAGAACTTCATACACACATGGAAATTAAATAACATCGTCCCGAACAACCAATGGGTCACAGATGAAATTAAAGAAGAAATCAGACAATTTCTATAATTAAATGAAAATGACAATACAACATACCAGATCTTATGGAATGTAATAAAAGAAGCCCTACAAGGGAAATTTATAGCAACGAATTCCCATATAAGGAAAACAGAGCAGGCTCAAATAAATAACCTAATGTTGAAACTCAAGCTTCTAGTAAAAGAAGAGCAAGTCAAGCCCAAAACTCATACAAAGAAGCGAATTATAAAAACCAGAGAAGAAATTAATGCAATGGAAACTAAGAAAACAACACAAAGAATCAACAAATTTAAGAGTTGGTTCTTTGAAAGATTAAATAAAATCGACAAACCTTTAGCCAACCTTATTAAAAAAAGGAAAGAAAAGACTCAAATTCATGCAGTTAGGAACACAAAGGGAGAAATCCCAACAGACTCTGCAGAGATCCAGAAGATCAATATCTACTTTGAGAGCCTCTATTCTAATAAGATGGAAAATATGGAAGAAATGGACAGAGCCTTAAATGCACATGAATTACCAAAACTGAATCAAGAAGACATAGAAATTCTAAATAAACCAATTATCAGCCAATGAAATTAAATATGTAATTAAAACCCTACTAACAAAGAAAAGCCCAGGTGGATTCACTGCTTAATTGTACAAGAAATTTAGAGAGGACCTAATGCCACTACTCAACAAACTCTTTAATGAAACTGAAAGGGACAATATTCCAAAGTTCATTCAATAAAGCAAGCATTACCCTGATTCTAAAACCAGAGAAGGGTCCAACCAAAAAGGAGAATTACAGGCCAATCTCCCTAATGAACAAAGATGCAAAAATCCTCAGCAAGATACTGGCAAACAGAGTACAGCAAATGATCAGGAAGGTTATACACACCATGACCAAGTTGGATTCATCCCAGGGATGCAGGGATGGTTCAACATATGCAAATCAATAAATGTAATATACTATATTAAAAGACAAGGATAGAAACTATACGATCCTCTCAATAGATACACAAAAAGCATTTGAAAAGGTCCAACACCCATGCACGATAAAAACCTGACAGAAAATTGTATAGATAGTCTTTATCTCAATCTGATAAAAGCCATCTATGACAAACGAACAGCCAACATCATACTAAATGGAAAAAAGCCGAGAGCTTTCACTCTAAAATCAGGAACAACACAAAGATGTCCGCTGTCACCACTCTTGTTCACTATTATTCTGGAAACACTAGCCAGAGTAACTAGACAAGAGAAAAAATTAAAAGGAATAAGGGTAGGAAAGGAAGAGGTTATCGTTATTTGTAGATGGTATGATACTCTACATAGAAGATCCAAAAAACTTCACCAAAAGACTTTTAGAATTGATAATGAAATTCAGTGGCATAGCTGGATACAAAGTCAACACTCAAAAATCTACAGCATTCCTGAAGACAAATAATGGAACAATCCCTTTCACAATAGCATAAAAAAAAGAAATACCTAGGAATCAATCTAACAAAGAAAGTAAAAGACCTCTATATGGAAAACTACAGTACCCTGAAAAGAAGAAGATTGAAGAGGATATCAGAAAATGGAAAAAGCTAGGAGTGGTGGATGCCTATAACCCAAGCACTCAGGAGGCTGAGGCAGGAGGATCACTGTGAATTCTAGGCCAGCCTGGGCTACATAATGAGCTCAAGGATAGCCTGAATTGCAAAGTGAGACCCTGTCTCAAAAAATTAAATAAATAAATAGAAAGAAAATGGGAAGATATCCCTTGTACTTGGACAGGACAAACCCATATAGTGAAAAAGGCCATACTTCCAAAATTTTTATACAGATTTAATGCAATTTACAATCAAAATCCCAACAGCATATCTCACAGAATTAGAAAAAAGAATCCTAAAATTCATTTGAAATCAGAAGAGACCTAGAATAGCAAAGGCAACTCTGGGTACCAAAAGCAAGGCAGGGGGTATCACAATCTCCAACTTTAAATTATACTATAAAGATACTGTGCTTAAAAACAGCATGGTACTGGCAAAAAAGAAAACAAACCTGAGGATCAATGGAACAGACTAGAGGATGCGAAAACAACTCCTGACACACTCAGCATCTTATCTTTGACAAAGGAACCAACCAAACACCTTCAGGGGGAGACACATAGCCTCATTAAATAATAAATGCCTTTCCACACGGCAAAGATCGAAACTAGATCCATACTTTTCACCATACACTAACCTAAAATCCAAACGAATCAAAGATCTAAATATTAAAACAGAAACACTAAATCAGCTGGAAGAAAAAATAGGTAGAACGCTTGAGGACATAGGAGTAGGCAAGACTTCATGAACAAAACCCAGAACCGCATGGGAAATGCTACAAAGAATCAACTGGGGATCTCATTTTATTAAAAAGTTTTTGCACAGCAAGAGAAACCACTAACACAGTAAAGAGATAACCCACTGCGAGGGAAAAATATTTTTACCAACTATTCATCAGATAAAAGACTATTATGTAGAATATATAAAGAACTCAAAAAAATTAGACCCCCCCCACATTTGAAGACCCAACCCCAAAATAGGCATCTGAAATAGAAAGACACTTCTCAGATGAAGAATTTAGAAACAGCAAATGAGTATATTAAAAAATGTTCAACATCACTGGTCATTCGGGAAATGCAAATTAAAACAATGATGAGATTTCCTCTCTCTCCAGAATGACTGCTACCAAGAAATCGACCAGGCTGGGGATTTAGCTCAATGGTGCCTGCCTCCCAAGCACAAGGTCCATGAGTTCGATGCTCAGTACAAAACAAAACAAATCAACCAATAACAAAAGCTGAAGGGCTGTGGGAAATAAGGAACCCTTCTTCACTGTTAGTGGGAGTGTAGGCTGGTGCAACCACTGTGGAAATCAGTGTGGCGATTTCTCAAAAAACTAAAACTAGGGGTCCCATTCAACCAGCTGTACCTTTTCTTGGTATCTTCCCAAAAGAATTAAAAGCATCGTCCCACAGTGATATACACACACCCATGTTTATAGAAGCATAGTGTGGAATAGCTGAATCTTGGAAACAGCCCAAATGCCCATCAAGTGATGAGTGGATAAAGGCGTGTGATTTTATACAATGCTGTACTACTTTATCATAAAGAAGGATGAGCTTCGAACACTGATAGCTAAATGGATGGACCTTGAGACCACATTCCTGAGTGAAATAAATCGGCCACACCATTTAAATACTGCATTGTTTCTCTGCTGTGAGAAACCGAAAGTGGAAATAAGGACTGAGATGTATAATGGATGTTGGGAAATGGAAGGAAAGTTTTCAACTGGGAAGGGGAATGAGGGAGAAGAGGAGAGAAAAGAAGAAAAGTGAAAATAGAAGGAAAAAGTGGAAATGAACCTTTCATGCATAGGAAGGGGAGGGGGCTTGAAAGGGGGATGAAATAAAAGAAAATTTATTTAAGAAAAAAACATGCCAGTCATAGGCAGGTAAAGCAAAGATAGGCTGATTGGGGCTGGCATTTCAGATCTCTAGTTTTCAAAGCTGATCATTTTCCATCTAGGTCTTATTTTCAGGGAAAGAGGGTCACCACTGTAACAGTAAAAAATAAAACTGGTCCCAGAAAAATGAAGAGAAACTGATCTCATATATTGTTGGCAGGAATGTAAAAGGATACAGCAACCATGGAAAATAGTTGGCAGTTTCTTATAAAACTAAATACATTAATTGTCATACTACCCACCAATCACACTTCTGGACATCAATCCCAGATAAATGAAATCTCGACATCAACAAATCGTACATTCAAGTTTTCATAGAAGCTTTACTTGTAATACTGGTAGTCCAAATCTGCAAACTAGCCCAATGTCCTGCAACAGACGAATGATTAAAGTATCATATCTACAGCAATAAAAAAGAACAAACTATTGATACATGTAAAGACTTGGATGCGATTCAAAGGCCTTATGCTGTGGGAGCGGGGGAAAGCCATTGTCAAAAGAGTTCGTACTGTATACAGCCATCAGTGTCACATAAATAGCAAGTTGCAGTGATAAAGAGGTAGTGATTTCCAGGGCTTAGGGATTGCAGGGAGAAGACGCGTGATGTAGAGTGACAATGCACAGGTAGTACAAGAGTTCCTTTGTGACAACAGACAGGTGTATTGACTGGGGTGGCAGACACATGAATCTATGTGTGACAAAGGACACAACAACACACACATTTAGGAGTGCATGTAAATAATCTCTGAGATCTGAACAAGGTCTGGAGTTTAATAGTAATGTATGGGGGGGTGGGGATTTAGCTTAGTGGCACTGCGCCTGCCTTGAAAGAGCAAGGTCCTGACTTCAAGCCCTGGTACTACAAAAAAAAAAAAAGTAACAACATACCAAGGTTGGTTTCTTAGTTTTGACAAATGTCACATAGTAGCATTCAGATATTAACATTAGGGAAAACTTAAGGATATACATGCAACTTTCTATACTGTCTGCAACTTTTATGTAAAACTATTCCAACATAAAAAATTCTATTTTAAATTAATTGTATTGTATGCTTAAGGTATATAATGACAATCATCATTGGAAATTTGCACCTTTACATAACCCATCTCGGTTCTTATTTTGTCCCCATTCTCCTGAAAAATATCTATTTTAGAAAAGGAAAGATAATTTCAAAAGTATGATACTATCACACACTTAAATGGGCTGAGGTGACAAATATATGCGAAGAAATATTTCTCAGTAATTTCATTTTTATAGTCTACAGAAAAAATATACATATGTTCAATGAGACACCACTAGGATGTTCATGGTTTTATTCATAACAGCCAAAATTAGAAACAGCTCAAATGCCTACTAGCAAAATGAAGAAAATGTCGTGTGCTTATACAATCCAATGTAGCAGTATGAATGAATAAACTAGAGCATGCAACACTACACAGATGAGTTATATAGACATAGTGTCAAATCAAGGAAGCCAAATAACATCCGTTTATTTGAAGTTCAAGAACAGGCAAAACAAATCCATGAAGTGAGAACAGATATCCTTGGAATAGTGGTGCAGAAACCGGAAGAAAGCCTGCATGAGACTTCTCAAGTGCTGGTGACATTCCAATCTTGATTTTTTTTTTTTTTTTTTTTTTTTCTAACAGCCAAATGTAAATGGACAAAGATGTGTCTTGTCAGTTTTTTTTTTTTTTTTTTTTTTTGTACCGGGGATCAAACTCAGGACCTTGTGCTTGTGAGGCAGGCAGCAGAACCACTGAGCTAAATCCCTGGCCCTTGTTTTGTTTTCCTGCTACCAGAGGTCACTCTCAGGACCTTGCGCTTGCGAGGCAGGCAGCGGAACCACTGAGCTAAATCCCAGGTCCCCAATTTTGAGTGTGTTCCATATGAAAACAGTTGTACACGATTTGTGTACTTCATGGAAATTATACTTCAGAAAGATTACCAAAAAGCAAACGCACACTAAATCAGGTTACACTATACACTCATTAAAAAGCCTAAAACTATCCAGGAGTGGTGGTGCATGCATGTAATTCCAGTATTCGGGAGGCTGGGGCAGGAGGATCATAAGTTTGAGACAAGCCTGTGAGTTCCAGGCTAGTCCGAACTACATGGTGAAACCGTGTCTCAAAAAACAAAATGAGGGCAGGGGAATGGGGAAAAAACAAGAACCAAGATATATCACGTAAAGGTAAAAGATCCCAATGATAAATGTAACGGCATTGTTTGCTTTAAATGTGCCAATAAACTTAATGAAAAAATATAAGCTATTAAAAATGTTGCTCATGACAAAAAAAGGCTAGTTTAATACCAAGGGATGAAAAGAATGTAGAACTGAAATATTCATTTACAGCTAGTAAGGTGTTCATACAATCACTTTATAGTTTTTGGCAATAGCTACTAGAACTAAATATATGCATACTCTATGACCCAATATTTCCACCTGAATTATATGAGCCGAGACAAGCATATATGAAAATGTTCTCCCAAGAATGTTCATAATTGTGCTATGCCAAACTGAAAATCCAGTGGTTTTCAATGCTGCTACAGCTTATTAAAACCAGTTATAGCCTGAGAATTGCAGGCAAACCAACCTCCTGTGGGGAGATCTTCCAAATGATTTGGAACAGAAACTAGTAAATATTCCAGCTTCCATACTCTTCTCTGTCAGACAATACGGGGAAGCATTAGATACTCAACCTCAGGAACACTTCCTCATGTTGGTGAACTACTGCTCCAAGTTTTCTTGTTTTTCGCAAGCTCTGCTCTCGGGGTTAGCCCAAATGTCAGCAGCACAATCCATACTTTTCCATTTATATATTGCTCAGAAATATGCAAAATCTGTCCATGATGGAAGTGTCAATTTAGCGGCAGTAATGATAGGGTGGATGAGGGAAGTTTGTAATGTTCTATTTCTTTATCAGAGAAGTGTTTCAACGGACATATTTACATTTTTGGCAAATCTTCAAGCTATAGCTACCCGACGTGAGTGGTGCACAGTAGTAATTCCAGCTACTCAGAAATCTGAGACTGAGGAGGGAGGATTTTAAGTGTGAGGCCAGCTTGGGCTGAGAGCCAGGCATGTGGTACATGCCTGTAACCCCAGCACTCTGGAGGCTGAGGCAGGAGGATGGCTGTGAGTTCAAGACCAGCCTGGGCTACATAGTGAGTTCCAGGTCAGTCTCAACTACACAGTGAGATCCTGTCTCAAAAAAACAAAAATAAAACAAAAAGGGCCCAGATGCTAGGTGTGGTTGACACACACCTGTAATCCCAGCACTGGATGAGGCAGGAAGATTACAACAGGCCCAGCTTGGGCTATACAGCAATTTCAAGGTCCACCTATACTGAGAGATGCTGCCTCAAAAATAACGTAAAGGCCTGAGGATGTAGCTCAATGGCAGAATGCCCTAGGTCAGATTTGGGTGAGCAGAGTGAGCAGTGGGAAAGCTGCCCAATAAGAATGAACCTTGTAAGGGAAACTGGATTTATTAAAGAGCAGGTTAACCCCAATGGACACATCCACGCTCATTAAATGATGCCCCATTCTTAGACTTAAAAAGCATTAAACATGGAGCATAGAGGGCTTTGCTGGAGGTTGGCATTGAGATCACGTACTACTAATCTGAAAGGCAGCGCAGTGAGCTTTACCTGTATGCATCCCTTTGAGATGGGGAAAAGGAATTGTAACATTTCTCTGGGTTCGTTTTTGGGTTTTTGTATTTGTACCAGGGATCAAACTTGGGACCTTGCATTTGCCACGGGAGGTACCGAGTTGAATTCCCAGCCCTGCTTTTCATTTCCAGGGCTGCCTCCCACAGGCCTAAACCTTTCCCCACTTCTGTTCTAGCCCCATTTTCCTCTCAACAGTTACTACTTAGACACCAGTCAGCACTGGGGATGTATTAATGAACACCAACAGATGGGGTCCTTGCTCAGCTTTAGTAAGAAAACTACAATAACCAATCAGTGTCAGAGCTACAGATTTGTAATAAAAAAGGGAGGTCCCTTATGAGTGCCACTTAAGGACGAACAGAACTAGGAAAATGAAATGGGCAAAGGTGGGAGTGCATGAGAAGAGGGATAAAACGCAGCCCACTGTGGTAGCAGGGAAAGTGAGGGAGCGTGTCAGGGGCATACCTCTACAAACTTAAGAATATGTCGTTATTTCCTAAGAGCAGATGAAGCCGGAATGGTTTTGAGCCAAGAGCTACCATGACTGTGCTTTGGAAAAAGCAATGCGGCTGTTGTATGAACCAATGATTAGAAAGTGATCCGAGGGCTGAGGATTTAGCTCAGCGGTTCCAGCGGCTGCTTCGCAAGCCCAAGGACTCAAATTCAATCCCCAGTACCAAAAAAAAAAAAAAAAAAAAAGCGATCTGAGTATATGTGGGTAGATGAGACTACCATATGCTACAAGATGAGGGACTGAAGAACGCACATGGACAGGAATAAAATGACTCAGCAGAGGCACCGTAACAGTGAGCAATTATAACCACGCATCTATCAACTAGATACAAGAATATGTGCATGGCTGGCAGTAGGTGTTAATCCCAAATCTAGCACAATAGGAGAAAAGATGTGTGCATGTAAATTACGCCAAGCCTTCTGAGGTTGCGTAGTACAGATATTGCTCAAAATTGTGGATTGCTAGTTGCAGAGAAACGGGAGAAGGATGAATGCTATGGAAACACAATTAAACCCCCAAGGGGGGGGGATTCAGCTCAGCGGTGCTGCGTGTGCCTCACAAGCACAAGGTCCTGAGTTCGATTCCCAGTACCAAAACAAAACCAACAAAACCACTAAGAACTGAAAAAGGACAAATGAAAATTGAGACTTGAGTATGGAACACTCCTCCCCCACTACGAAGGGCACAGTTTCTGCAAACTTAAGAGGTAGGGAAAATGAGCCTGTCCTTTGCTATGAGTGCTTGCTGACTCAGAAAGATTCCACCAAGGTGTTAATATTTTGTAAGATACTTTTACACTCGGGAAGGTGCTTACGAGGCCAAAGCAACATGAACTTCACTGAGAGCTGTCATATGCCCTAGCCACACACTAGGGAGGGATAATCTGGCAACTTCATTGGGAAGACTACCAGGTGAGGGAAGGAAGGGCAGCACAAGGCCGTTTCCAGAGCTCGGCAGGTAACAGTAAGGAAGGACACTGCTGGATTTCACCCCAGGGAACTAGATTTTACCAGGCTATTCCTTCTTGTGCTCAAGGCAAAGAGCTGGGATATACCTACAAGGAAAAGGCCATTGTCGGCCCACGATACCCAAGGACATGACAAGGACAGAGCAGACCACTGCAGTGTCTCCAGTACATGAGCAGGTAACTTTCTGGTAACCTGCTTCTAAAACCTTAGGCGTAGCTTATGCTGTAGAAGCTCGTGTGTAAAAAATACAAAGTTCTAGGAAGTGTAGGTTTTGCTTAGTGATAAAACACATTTCCGAAAAAAGGAAGTCAGATACTGTACACCTGGGTGAGCCTAGCAGCTGGTTCTAGTGGGTTACCTACTGGACTATCCAGCCCCAGTAAAAACCCTCAATCTGGCTGAGGTCGCTTGGCAGTGTCAAGAGCAGCTCTGAAACACTATGTCTCTGGAACAATTAGCCTTTGGAACAGGCACAAGACAGGTCCACGATTCCTAAACTTGAATGGGAACTGGTAAAGCTACTAACCAATGAATGAGCTGGAAATGAACACCGAGCCATTAAATTTTAAAACCTTAATTCTTGAGTCTATTTTGGGGAGCAGGGCTTATTGTCCAAATACACAGATTTTTGTGACCTGTGTGGGTGTAGCCCACAACTCCACATTAGTTAAAGCCCTTGGGTAAAGTTCAAGGCCATCACAGGGAGCTCATAGGATCATGATCCAAGAGTGAAGGAACAGGATGAGAATTGTGAAAGTAACAATGATCTCAGTGAAATATTTGCCAAGTATGCTGTCTGAGCCAGAAGAAATGAAGCTAAGTGTTCTGGGTACTCCAGAATTGCTGAGGAAGACGGGTGGGAAAGCCTGCATCTGTGCTGCATTTTCGAAGCCCAATCAAGTTCCATGGTGTGGGGATAAGGTTCTTACCAAGTTTCAGAGAAGGTGCTCAGAGTGTTACCTGTAGCTAGGACAGTTGTTTTCTCACTACCTGTTTCCTGTTGAAACGTTCAAAATTCACGGGTAAGTCAAAACATAATTGGAAGTTTAATAGTCCATTTAATACTACCATTTAATAGTCATGGGGATTTGAAAACACCTTATCTCTTTCAAATCTTTTGAAACAGGAATTACTTCCATTCATAGTTAATAGGCTTATAGTAAAAATTAGTAACGTATGACTTGAATGGTTGGTTAGCATTATTTGAAGTTAATCTACTTTGAGCCTGAGCCAACTGAAAAGGATCCTACTTTGGAAGTTTCTAACAGGCAGTTAAGTTGTGGGCAACTTGGACATTCCTGCAATTCCTGAAACTGTAAATGACCTCACGAGGAAAATCTTCACTACTGATTTAGGACCTCAGAACTAACAATGAAGCAAGGACATGCAACATCTTCATTATGTCACCTTTGTTCATGTATAGGCATGAAGTATAACCAAGTATCATCCCTTGTCTAGAAATTTCTCATTCTCTAGTATTATGCTACTCGAAGTAGCTATGTCTTGCTAAAGAATTACATGTAAAATTTAAACTATTTCAGTCACCGCACACATTTCACTACCACTAGTTGGTATCACACTGGGCACCTTATAAAACATTTCTATCCTCACACAAAACTCTGTGGAGCTGAGTGTGGTGGCACATGCCTGGAAAGGCTGAGGCAGGAAGACTGTTCCAAGTTTGAAGGCCAGCCTGAACTACAAAAGCCCAGACCAACAAATTAAGTTTGGCTAACTAACATGCTGTGTGAATGCAGAGAATGGGATTTTGCCTTCTCACCTTCTAACCTTACCAGATGTCTCCCTAGATCCTGTTTAGACTTTAGTGCAGATTCTGGTGCTTAAGTACTCTCATTCCTTTCCACTGCTGTTATGTAATTAAGCTAAGTAGAAGTGGCTTGAGATCAGCTCAACAGCACAACTGCCTTACAAGTGCAAGGTCCTGAGTTCAGCCCTCACAACCATGGGGGTGTGGGGGAGGATGATTACTAGCCACTCCTTTCCCTTAATGCATTTAACTCCCAAATAGGCATCTTTTCATTAACTTCCTTACTAGCCAGTCACCCAGGGAGGCCCTCTAGAACAATGTTCTGAAAGCCCCGTGTGCTTTCTTAATCCACAACTCATCCTCCTCACCAAAGGAAATTTCTGCCTCATGGCCAAGTGGCTCTCTACCAATGGAATTTAAAGCAAATGGGTTGCCTGTCTACACAAGGACTTCTATTCCAATACTCAGGTAGGGGGCCAGGGATTTAGCTCAGAGGTTTTGCTACCTGCCTTGCAAGCACAAGGTCCCGGGTTCAATCCCCAGTACAAACTACATGCATACCAATACTCAGGTGGGTCGTGCTTCTCATTTAAAATGGGAAAAAAAAATTCGAGATAATACATAATGAACAACAGTGCCTTAAGTATGTCAGACAAGTGCTCCATCACTGTGCTACACCCCCAGCTCTAAAAGAACTATTTTCTGTGTCAGGCATGGTGGGGTCCATGCCCAGTATTCCTAGCACCCAGGGAGGCTGATGTGAAAATCAATGTGTTAGCCCAGGCTGGGCAACTTAGCAAGAATTGGCCTCGACATGGGGGGGGGGAATCCTTAAAATGCATATACATGTTTAACTCTCCCTTTTCTTCAGTAAGTCCCCTTAAGACTGAGATAGACAGGTATCCAAATTCCCTTTAATTTTTTGCCTACGAATTGACCACTTCTTCCCAATTAATGGCAGTGTCATTCCTATAGCTCCACCAAATTTCAATCTCATTTTCTAGGGCTGAGGATTGAATGTCAAAATGACTATAACCCCACCACATGGATCCATGCCTTTAAAACCACTAACAACCATTTTTTTAAAAAGCATAAACTACATCATTTGATAGGATTTCAAATGATATTTTACCATTGGTAATTTAATCATCTTTGCTAAGTTTAGACTTAGGAACCTAGAATGTCAAAACTGATCAAATACAGCTATCACTGTCATCAACTGTGCTCTTAAATACAGGAAGGAATTGTAATCCAGAGCAACGAAAGATGGAGCGTGAGATGAGTCTTCCCCAGGCAACCTACAACATTTCTGAGTATCTTACATGTATCACTTTGTGCTGGGGAAGTCCTGGAAGGGTAAAGTAGACAGACACCTTGAATTCTGGGCTAGTTTGTCTAGTATCTTTCAAACATCAATGGCTAACACTATAACGTTCAACAGGTTTTATTAGTATCTTGGGCTTCTGAAATTTTCTTCTACATATCCAGTTGATTTTCTAGTCAAGGGTTACCTGCTAAAAGTTCAACAGAGATGACATTAGATTAGAAAACAGTCAGTACAAGTTTTTTGACTAAATTAACATTCAACAGAAGCTAACTTTATAACATGCATTTGGGTTCCAGGGGTAGGTTATAGTTGAATTTCTTCCTTCTGTTTTGCTTTATCATGTTACAGGAAAGGAGCTCAAATCTTTATAAACAACACATGACTTTTGTTCACAGAAGGTAGGATGTGAAAAATGTCTTTGCGCCATGCTAGCAATTAACAGCAACTTTACAAGAAATTCAAGGTCTGTATACATTAAAGTATCAGTTCCTTTTCCTACTATGTTGGAAAAACTGAAGAATAAACATGAATAAACTGGGTATTTTAAGAAAACTAGGCAAAAGCATCCAAATCTGGCAGCGGTCTAATATATCTAACTTAGAAATTTAGGTGCTAATACTGTATCATAAAAATCAATGCAATTAAACTGTGGGTAATGACAAAGGATTAGTTTATATGTCTGTAGAAAGTCACTGTGAAGTAAAATAAACATTAGGAACCCTTAGCCATGGTCTCGGTTACCTGGGAAGGCACACACTACAGAAGACCAGGAAATAAACAGCTTTTCTATTATAGTAACATTGAGGCAGAGTCAAAATCCAGTAAAAGGTAACTGGGGATGTGATAATTAGAATGATCTCCATTCTGTCAAAGTTATTACTTAACACAACATCCATGTTGAGTCGTTATGACAATGATCATGAATGACCGCAGAGAAACATACAGTATTTGAAACATTCTAAAGGTTTTGTGGAGGCTACTGTAAAACAAAGAATTTGAAGTAAACTATTATACAAAAATAAAAAACCAGGTTGTTTTTCTCCAAATTCCTGGTTTAATAAGGACTTATTTTGAGAAAAAAGATCCCAAACATCAGGCTGTTCACAAAAATAACCCACAGTATCAACTTTAGAAAACAAAGACTATTACACTAATTTTTCTAGAGGATGCATTTGACATGCCAACTCTCACTCACAAAAATACATTGTTACATTTGTGTTCAACAGTCCCACAAAGTACTTGATGTGGGGAAACACAAACTTCTAACTCAAAGCTGCTCTCAGATGCTACAACTAAATGAGATTGCCTTTGCAGTTAGGGAAGCAACTACTGAAACCATGTATGGGTGGAAATAACTGTACTCCCTGCGTAACGAGAGATTATTGTGGAGACAGCTGATAAAAACCATACAACCTTTTTATTGTTAAGTCATAAAGAGGTATCAAAATTAAAAAGCAAAATTACAGGGTAAGACTTAACAAAACTACTAGGAGCGTCAAAGGAAGTGAAAATGGGACTAGGCGCAGGGCAATTACGAACATGGGAAGGACAAAGAACAGTGAGCATGTGCTGAAGATACTAGGGGAAAGGATCTGGTGAAATTTTGATTTTAGACAAGCGCCTAGGTAAAGAAATAATGGGACAAGACTTCTAAACCCCACTATATGCTTAAGAGTCATCCTCGCCATTGGCGCTGTCTCTGTCATCCTCTCCTTCTTCAGCCTCTTTTTCATCATCCTTGATCAACTCCAGCTGTGAGACACAGACACAAATAGTGGAGTTAGAGTCGCTCCTAATATCCCTGATCCCCCCGAACCACCTTTCTTTCCTTTCCCAGTTTTCACCTGGTCATCTCCCCGATCTTCATTATCATCATCATCCAGTAGGTCCCCCTCCTCAGCAGAATCATCTGCAGCACCCTCAGACTCCATCTTCACATTAGTCTCATCTTTCTTCAGGGAGGTGCTGGTCTGCTCTTCTTCTGACTTATCATTCTTCATCTCCACTACAGGTGAGAAGGACAAGTCTCTTGGAGCAAGGATGTAGACAATCCTAATAACCACAGAACTCAACCACACATATAAAAACCTCCCACTATACAGATGGTTTTCCCAATTCAAACACCCTGAGTTTCATTATTAAACTGTTTTACATTTCACTAATCCAATATATATTTTCAATCTGCTTAAATATTAGCCCAATTTTACACACAAGAAAAAAATTACCTGCTTGTTTGCTCTGTTCCTTTTCAATTTTCTCCAGGCTTTCCAGTAAAGAATCCACTTTTTGTTTTATCTGGGTCAGCTCCTTCTTAATGGCCTGAAGGTCATCACCTTTCACTTTAACAAAACAGTATCTTAGAATTAGAGCCAATCTACTACTCACCAAATACATCCCCACTAGTTTATACCACAAGCCAAAAAGAAAAGGCCTGGGGATAAACAAAGCCAGTAATTGAATATAAGCAAAAATGGAGACCTGTGATCTGTGATATTTGCCTGTATTTCTTTTAGCAGTAGTGTCACCTATATATATACTTCAGCAGTTTTCTGAACCAATAGATGTCTGGAAGGACCAGGGATTTAGCTCAGGGGTGTCGCACCTGCCTCCAAAGTGCAAGGTCCTGAGTCTGTTTATTTTCAGTACTGGGGATCAAACAAATAAATATCTGGAAACTAATGGCCAGCATTTTGTGCATCTCTTGTAATTGTATTGATCTCATGATGTCTCAGTAAAGTAGTATTAAAATTATTTCTAAAAATTTATTTTCCTAATATATACATTGCTTTGGGCAGACTGTATATGGGCTCGCTAAATAACTTAAATTCTATTTTAAGGCACTTTCTGCAATTTATTTCCATTTAAGGAGTTGAACGCAGAAAACTAAAAAGAAATCTTCAGGGCTGGGGATTTAGCTCAGTGGTTCTGCCAATGGGCCTTGCAAATAGCAAGGCCCAGAGTTTGATCACCAGTAACAACAACAACAAAAAACTTCAAATGGGTAAAATACACCAGAATTTAATTCTTTACACAAAAATATTTCATAAAGCCATAAAAACTTTGCCTGAGCATCTAAGGACTTTTTGCAAATTATTAGGCCACTGGGGCCAGGAATTTAGCTCACTGGTACCATGCCTACCTTGCAAACACTGAATTCAATCCCCAGGGGTGTGTGTGTTTGTGTGTGTCATTGTTAGGCTGTTGGGCATAAAACAAGGGAGAAGCCTGTATGTCCATCAATAGATGAACAAAGAAAATTTACTTACAATGGACTACTCTGTCAGAGCCACGTAAAAAATAGACATAACTTGAAATCAATGTTAAAGTGAAATAAAATCAGACACACAAAGCTTAAAAAAATCATAGAACTTCTCTTGTATGAGAAACCCAAGGTATAAATAATTTAAAAAACAAAATAAAAGACAACAGAGCAAACAAAAACTTAGATATTTAGCAAATGCGAAGGGTACTAGAGATACACAAGAAGAGGAAATACACGGTCTTTTTTGTGCAGAGCTATGCACACAAAAACTCAACCCTATAATTCTACTAATTTCTGTATTGAAAAGTAAGAAACAACATACACTTTCCAGACTTGGAAGAAGATCCCCGCTGTCCACTCTTAGAATTGAAGCCGCTTTTGCCCCTTCGTGAGGTGTTTCCTGATACACGCTGGCGTTTTGAGGGCACTACAGCCCGAGCAATAGGAGGAGGAGGAGGAACACGTGCTGGGTAACTGTACATCCTATTGGATAGAAGAATAACCAAATTCCTTCACACTTTTGATCCAACAGTGACCTTACTTACTATGCTATGTTGACCTACATAAAAACCAACTAACTCTTCTGCTTAAGCTCCAAGAAGTTTGACAAGTTTTAACAAATGTGATACAGTAGACAGCTCTGAACAACTCAAGTTACTATTTCCCTGATCTACTTTCTGCGAATGTTAATGGACGGGAACGTTTTACTAAATCAAGATAGAAAGCTGGATGCAGTGAACACATCTATTTTCCCACCTACCCTGGAGACTAAGGGAGGGGCATCACTTGAGAGCATTTCAGAGACAGCCTTCACAGGAACATTGCCAAACAAGAGTGTAATTTACTAAACTTCACTATGAAAACAGTTTCAGTCCTAGATATACCTAAATCAGTGACATACATGGATACAAGTTTCAAAAGCATAATTCAGAAAGCACAAAGACATTGAGTTGTTAATTTGTCCATTTGAAATCACTCATAACAAGATAGTAGTCCTTTTTTAAATTCACTGCCTTCCATGTTTAACTGAAAATTTGTTTTGTTACAAAATTTTCCAAAGCATGATTCAAATCAAACTGGCTTTCAGGAACTACTGTACTTTTATGCAAGATGATACTTTTAAGGCAATTTCTGAAGATAAGCGAATTATCTGTATCTTTGACTATGAAGCTGAGCTCATGGCATACAAATCTAAGTTACCTTCCCTACCTACACTCTCAGTCTCACCAGTACCAGATTCCACAACTATGAACTTGCCATTTCAGATTCCCTACAGTTGAAAGGACTGAAATTACCTTTGGACTCATAACCAAAATGAATCTAGAACAAGTTTGTTTTGAATCTTTGTAATGATCTAATGAGCACAAATACAATAAAATGGTATAGTTCTTTAAAGAAAAATATTTCAAAATTGAGTAGATAGTGCTAACAGGCATTTAGTGACACAAAGTTATTTAGCTGCTGCTCTAGTAAAAATGAACTGATTCTCAAACACAAAGATTCCTCTGAGGAAAAGTAGTACCCCTCTCATCTTGAAAAAATGCACAAACTGCTGGCTTTGAAAAGACAGAAGAAAACAAGGGAGGACATGAAGAGAGGGAAAAAAACAAACCTAATATGTTTACTTTTTAATAGGCCTAAAAGATAGGAAATAGGAAGCTTTGTATGACAGCTATAAAAACCGGCTACAAATTGAGCTAGCCATTTGAACCACAGAAATGCTGTATCGAAAACATGGGCAACAGAGGCTGATTCCTTACTGATTAAGCATCAGGTATTATAGAAGTGAGTCTCATAACAAGAGCAAACTATCAATGAACCCTAGAATTATGACTGCACACTAAATCAGAAACCTGGACACTAAGCAGTGAAAAATGCTCAAAAAAACTTTGAAAGAAACGCAACATTTAGAGACCCATTAGCTAGCTAATCATTTAAACAGACTAAGAAATTGAACCTCTACATCAACCTCCCCAGGTCAAAACTTACATATTATAAGGCTCATAATATTTCAAATATTAAGCCAAAAAAAGAATAATTAGAACATACTGATAATATTCCCCTGAATACACTTACTTAAAACACCGCTACTGTTGATCTTAATGGAGACAGGTTAAAATGTTTTAGGTATTTTAACTATCAACAGGTAAGTATGGAAAACAATTTCAGAAACCACTGCCTCTTTGATGGTGTAGGTAGTATATGCTATGCCCTATGAACATCTTCAGTATTTTATACCATTTCTAAATATATAAAACTAAATAAAAATACTATGTAAATAGTGCCTAAAAAACAACGAGATGAGAAAAATCTGTTTAACACAGATGTATTAATCCCCTCCCCTTGCAGTTATCAGGGATGGAACATACATAGGGCACCTTGTGCTTGGCAAGGCAGACACGATGCCACTGAGCTAAATCCCCAGTCCTGGATGCATTTTTTTTTTCTTCTCCCAACTTCAGCAGTTGGGTAAACTCACAGATACAGAACTTGGCAACTTGGCAAACTACAATGGGAATAAAAGTAAAAGGTGTGATATCATCTATGTTAGATTTGTTAAGAAATCTTTTACCATTTGCTTTTTATTAGACAACAGAGGGATTTTCTGAGCTATTATATTCAGGATTTAGAATATGACAATTTATAAAAACACTTATTAAAATTGTTTATGTCCATATTAAAAAAAAAAATTACAAACCAGTCCAGAAAAAGTAACTTGCTCTTATCAGAACTGATGAATCAAATCTTGATTAAAAGAAATATGCCCTCTTATTTCAAGATATGAGGGAAAATGGTAAGTAAATCAAAGAATGGGGATGGATTCAGGCTTGGAATAATTTCTGTAATAATCCAAGCACACTGAAAGGCTGAGGCAGGAAGATCACAAAATCAAGTTAAGACTGGGCAACTTAATGAGACCACTGTCACCTATGTATGAGAGTAGAGAGTCTTTAGGTTTCCTAAAACCAGTCCCATGAACCACATGGTATACTTTCACTTTTCTAAAACCCAAAATCTATGTTTACCTTCATGTAAAACTTTTATCCATGTTGTTTTTATTAGCTGGATGAAAAAACTGTGTTTATGAGGTTTTATATTACAATGTAAATATGAAGCTTTATCAAGACATGTCCAATACAAGATGCTATTTCGTAACATACCTGGCATTCCTGCTTTTATGCTTTAAAATAATCAGCTAGCAGATGATTTGATAATTAAAATGTGTTATGTATGTGTTATGTAGCAAATCCTCATGAATGTGGTCATTATTTACTGCAAACATGAACTAATAAAAAGCCACCCAAGTTAGACTTTTATAACTTGTACTTTACTGCTGCCTAGCAGTTTCTGTGAGAAATTAAACTGAATAAAAACCATAATCAGAGCCAGGTGCAGAGTCACATGCCTATAATCCCAGCACTTGGCAGGCTCTAAGGCCAGCCTGGGTTGCATGGTGAGTGACAGGCCAACCTAAACTACACAGCTAAGAAAAAATTCCATAATTACTTTTCACCTAAATCTGTTCACCACAAAAACTATACAGGTTGCCTAGTACATGGGGACACACAAATCTTAATCTTTAAAGAAAAAACTCTGTTATATAATTTATTTTTGTTGTTATGGGAAATCAAAGTCTGAACCTTGTTTTGTTTTGTGAATGTAACTATGTAGCTCTGTATGTTATATAAATAGTGGTCTGTCATGATGGACTCACTGGGGAGTGGTATTAACACAAACTACACTACCAGGCATAGTGGCACTTGCCTGTAATCCCAGCGCTTGAGAGGTTGAGCCACCAGTTCAAAGCCAGCCTGGGCTACATAGTTACATTCACAAAACAAAACAAAACAAAAAAAGGGAGGCTGGGGATTTAGCTCAGTGGTGCAACTGCCTGCCTTACAAACGCAAGATCCTGAGTTTGATCCCCGGTACCAAAAAACAAAACAAAATGAAGTAACAACAACAATAATTATATAAAAATGTTCATAAGCGGGTTCTACAGGTTTCATAGTGACATCCATATTTTCAGGTTTTATATGATAGTTCTAGCTTTACATAATTTTTATACTGTATGAAATATGAATCAAAGCTTATTTTTATGCATATGGATAACCAAATATTCAGACACTACCCGGTCTTGGTGGCACATGCCTGTAATCCCAGCACTTGGAAGACTGAGGCAGGAGGATTGCTGCAAGTCCAAGGCCAGCCTGAACTACAGTGTTAAAAAAAAAGAAAAAGCCTACCAAACTACATATTTGATGGCAAGACCATTTCAACATTCCCACGAAAAATTTCTAAGCCATAAATAATCTGAGCAATGAGCGACATTTTATGAAGCCCTAGAATATTCCATATTCAAAAACAGGACTGTATCCTAGACTATGGGAAAAGGAAATCAAGCATGGTGGCACATGCCTTTCAACCCAGCACTCCTGAGGCTAAGGAAGGAGGGCCAAGATTTAGAGGGAAGGCCAACCTAGACTAACAGTAAGACCATGTCCCCTCTAAAGGTTTTCCTTTTATATATATAGCTCTATTCAAGCAGCAATATTTCTATACTTAATTTACAAATAATTTTAATATTCATCTGTCACAATACTCTCAACAAACACATCCATGTTTTACTTTAGATCTTTCACACATTTTAACCTGCCAGCATGGTATAATTTTTTGAAAAGCGATATAAAATAGTGCTTATAAGGTTTATTAACTCATTTAGAAGATGTAAAACCATTTATTCCTACACTCTCATAAAGCCAGATCATAGATAAGAGCATACTTCTTTCATTTACAATAAAATCTCTTTTAAGGATCTGTCTACCAAAACTGATCTGGTTGCCAGAGGACAGGTCAAGAGGTGACTGCAAAGGGACATCATTAGCAGAATTTTTGAGAAATTTAGAAAGATCGTGATTGTAGTGACGGTCACATGACTGTATTCTGAACAGCAGAGAGGTCAATGTGTACACCAAATCAGTTCACTTTACTGAATACTGTTTTCTATGCGGTCTCCTTGTATTTACACTTCCATGTCCTTGTAAAGTTTCTGCCCATACCACAAATGGTATTTCTGAACTACTAAAAGAATGTCATTCCTCTACTTTTATTAAACATATATATTTACTGTTTCCAAGATACTTCTTTGTTTCATCACCCTACTGTGACATTCTTTTTTTTTTTTTTGTACCGGTACCTTTGCAATAAGTGTCTAGGCAGATACTATTCAGTCTTTGCCTCAGTTGAAAGTATTTTGACATTTTTTTTTTTTTTTTTTTGGTACCGGTGATTGAACTCGGGTCCTTGCGCTTGCAAGTACTGTGACATTCTTAATCTCCACCTTATATTCTACAAAGTACGTATTTAGCCCATGTTTATCTCTAAGGCCATTTTTCACTATTATTACTTGCTGCACACACTGAATGCCTGATGGGAAGAATACAGGATACAGTGAATAAGTAAGACTTTTCTAAACTGGACTG